CGCCATAATTTTTTTTTCATCTGACAAGGAAATAACAAGGATGCTTGCTGTACGTGAGAGTAAGGGTAATATTATTACCATCGGGCGTTTTCGTCTTGCCTCCCCAGCTTCTACAAATCAAACAAGGAAGAAGAAAGAATAACTCTCCTTTCCGGACGCGATTGGCGTTACTCAACCGGGGAAAAAAAACAATAACAAGGCCCAGTGTGGTGGAGAACCTTCAGGCGTCGAAGAACACAGGACTGCAGATGAACTCTGTTGACACTGGATAAGTGCCAGGCTATGACAATGACAAAGAAGATGGCGATTATCCAGCAGAAAGTCTGGCGCTGCCGTCGTTGGGCGCTTTCATCCGACTTCCGCTTCGTGACGAGAGAGCGAGCGAGAGAGAACATATAATTATGTATTCTCTGCTTCATCAGCGGTCCATTTGCGAACTAATGGACCACAGTGTCCATAATTGCGAACAAGGAGTGGCTGGGCGGAATTCCAGGCTTTTGTACCCTTGCAAGGCGCATTACCCTACATGCTCATTGTGGCGATCATCAGAAGAAACAATGATAGATCTTTAGCTGATAATTGCAGATGACATGAACCCCGGACAGGTGTCAGTCTAGTCATAGAAGCAGATGTCCCGAAATATCCCGATGCGTATCGTGGAAATTGCAGGGTGCGTTGAAACGAGGGGTGGATACTTGCAGAGTGGAGTGGCCACTTTTCCCCGCACGAACCCCCGTATTATATGACGGATGTACGAGACACAATGCATGTTGGGAGGGAGAAAAGATTGTGGAAGGGGGGAAGGTGTTTCCAGTGACAGGCTCTAACAGCAGATGCTACAACAAGGGGTCAGAGAAAGCGGGAGGGAGGAGGAAAAAAAATGATGATGATGGGAAAAGACTGAGTAGAGAGAGAGCGCGAGACAAAAATAGCTTTTGGGCTTTGCCCCTGACACAACTCTAACTTCGTGTATCTCAAAGAGAAACCTCAATGGGGCGTTGGGAGTTCTCCTCTCCCCGACGACGAACTCTTCTGCGGCAGTTGTCCTGCATCTGCTCTGCCGTAAAACCTCGGCTTTGGGGGAAACATGGCCATTCCTCTACGAAGGTAATGAATTCCCTGCGTCTTAGGAGTAATCCGCTTGCGTTGGCCAGATTAATGAGCTCCGAGCACTCCTCAACCTCCTCCACTACTTCTAGCAGTATAAAAATGGCCCCATTGTTATTGCTATGTATGATTGTTGCAGTGGGTTGGTGTTTGCAATGCTACCACTGTGGTGTGGGAGTAGGGGTAGCCCTGGAAATCGGACACCGAGCTCCAGTAAGAGAAGCCTCCACCTGCGAGGAATTCCACCTGGCTAGACGATGGACCTGGTTCGCCGTCTCCTGTGGTCAAGACGCCTTCTGTGTGAAGTCCCACAACCTCGCCGACCAAAGAAACGGTATTTTAAAAGATCTCCTAGCGTTCCGTCCGCTGTTTCCGTTGAATTCAATGAAAGTGGCTCTTCCCACAGAGAGCCTGATAAGGCGAGGGTGTGCGCGACAGGACACGGCTATGGGTAATCGCCACCAACCCGGATGTTGGAGCATGGGAAGCTCGAACCGGGACCCTAGTTCCGTGACCGTGCTGTGTTTCTGTGATACGGACTACTGCAACTCTGCAGTCTCTCTCTTCCCCTCGCCCTCGTGGTCCTGGTCGTCCCTGGCAGTCTGCTATTGGGCGCTCCGTCTGGGGACGTGGCTAGGAAGTCCACTGGGATGACGAGTGGTTCGAGCACCTCATCCATCTCGAAAGAAGGAAAAGGTGGAGGGATCGTCTCTTCGTCTTCGCTCTTCTTCCTTCCTCCCCCGAGGGAAATCAACAATCGCTTAGGGGAATGAATGAATGGGATAAGCCCCGTGAAGGTTACCTGACAGGGGCCGTTACAGGCAACATTGATCTCTCGATCTTGGATATTATGCTCCTCGTGATCTTCCCATTTTTCCTACCAGCAGGATGAAACACCCTCATATAAAGTACGTCTTCTTTCTTTCGTCGAGAATCTCGTCCATCTTCATTCCTTTGAGGATCTTGGAGTGGCGAAGGGCGAATTTCGATAGAAATGAAGACGGATGGAAGGGGAAGAGAGGATCCGAGGAAAGGAAGTTAGACGGAAGAGGGGACATGTTCACGCGATCTTGAGATCCCATTATCCCCCCGTCGCACCAGCCCCATCACGCATATTGAGTCGTGAGAGAAGATGAATGGTCCCACTTTTCACGAGATACTTATATGCCCTATGCAAAACATCCCCATCTGTTTCCACCCAGCAGGTGGACTTACTCTTTCTTTGGCTGTCGGAATGTATCATTTCCGTTTTCTCTCGCTTTTTTTTTTCCAAGAGCATAGATTCCAAGAAAGAGCAAATGAAACTTACGGAGTAGATGCAAGCCTGAACCAGGTTCGGCGGGAAGAGGTTCCTGCAGAAGAGAAAGAAAATTGTTTACAACAGATGTTTCTCAGAACACACAGTGCACAGAGAAAGAGATGCAGAAAGAGTGAAAGTTTATGGAAGAGGAAACTCATTAGGATATTCTGCAGAACCTTGTCTGAGTCGTGACCATAAGGGACGTGCATTAGCATCTCTAGGTAAATATAACGGTTTACAACGATGCCTACGAACGATCGTAACTTTCACTGTCATGCCATGGGTGCATTCTAGAGGCAAGTTGCCTGGGCCACAACGTTTGCGATTGCACCCAGTCACCCCAAGCCAAAATCTAAAGCGACTTCCATCGCGACCGAACGCGCTCAATGTCACTGTCATTCTTCTCCTCCGCTATAATTAACTCGGGGTTCTCCCCTCCAGCCTGCCTGTCTTCGACACTTACATATACGAGTTAGCATATCCCCATGACCTCAATACCATAATCACCCGCCCCCATTGTTTTATGAAGGCCATCTCCACTTAACGCATATGGAAGAGAATAAATTCGTAGCATTTCAGAGACGTTCCTGCCCTCTGGCGAAGTACGCCAGAAACGGTGAGCGGCGTGAATACACACTAGATGACACGCACATCTCCTTTCCCAACTGGATGGAGTGCATTTCACACGCAAAAAATAAACAGCCAACACGAGATGCAACTACGAGCAGAGGAAAAACAGCGAGAGGGTAGGAAAAACAAGACGGCACAGTCGTTGGTTTTCTTTGGCCAAGTGTCTGATGCTGATTGACTTTCCGTGACTGACCTGTCTGTTTTCCGAACTCTTTTTATAAGTGTGAAATCGGGTTAAAATTGCCAACGCTTATGGCACACATGATGCCTTTGGAATGTAACTGCTCTGTAGCTCCAAGGTTAAAATGGGGATGTCTCAGATGACAGACGCGATACTAAGCAACGACAGGTGCATTCCGGGACGCTGGGAACAAGATCCTATCATAGACCCATATGTGAAGGGTGCGGCGAAATCGTAGACCCCTTACAAAGGGAAGCCGGGTGACTGCTGAGAAACTTTGAATAAACCACTGGATATTCAATGTTTCTTCATCCAGAGACTTAATGCCGTTTGCAAAAGCCTCAAATAATTCGCTACTAATTCTGGTACGATAATAATGTCCATTGGAGAGAATGTACGCTAGCATCATCATGAAAAAGTTTGTATTGCGTAAATTAAAGCCAGCGAATATGACTCATACCGTCAATACTTTGTCAGGCATATTTGGCAACATAAAACTTTGGTTTTCTCTCAAACAGCAGGTTTTTAATAGTGAGAAGAGAAAAGTGATCACCATGATTTTGCAGACCTCCATCGGAAGCACTCTCCATTGTCTTTCGAGAAAATTGATTTAGAGAAGAAGCAATAAAAACTCCACCAAGTCCTTTATTACGACCCCCGTGTAAACAGACATTGAGATTTTGCCTAGTTGCATGTTGCTCATGAAGACGAGACCGTTTTTCATGCCTTTTTTGCCCCATCAGAATTAGTATTCTTCACAGGATCAAAGGAAGACCAGATCGATAGCGTTATGGTAAGTCTGCAAGATGACCGTGCCCTTTGCTCATAATGATTAAGAATTTGACCCAGTGAGACTTCCATCCTTTATAACTGCTTTCAGTCATAATTCTAAGAATTAAGGACAAGTCCTTGAATTTAGAAATAAATGAAATATCCAGTGATGCACTCAGTTACACTCTACAGTTAATTGCTCTTTCGCCAGTGCAGCGGATCCATCATATCCTGGGCACGTTGTGCCAGTTGACGTTTTATTCCCGACAATACCAGAAATGACTCTCCATACGAAATGCACGTCCAGATCGTCCTAACAGCGAAGTTCTTGCAACGAGGAGGAGTCTGATGCCGGGATAAAAGAGACTTCGCTGACGTTGTTAGATGGTGAGTATCACGTAGGCGTAGATAAAGGGTGGAATTAACCCATCCTCTTTCCGACTCTGCTATTCTGGGCTCGAAAACCGGAGCGGAGGCGGATTTCCCGTCCCTTCCCCCTATGAGCTAACTGCACAGAATTCGGCTTTCGCGATCACGGTCTGTGATTCCCCTAGAAGGCTAAAGCTTGCTCTCTTCCCAATCAACATATGTTATCGGTGATTGCAGCCTGCAGGATCGGCTAATTGCAACGTCAGTAAGTCCATGTATTTTGCAACAAGAACTATGAGGAAATGGTCCTGTGCAATGATACTTAATAATCCACGAAATTCCAGCCTTTATCAACGAGGCGACATTCCAGGGATAACGATTTTAGTCCTTGATGACTCCAGTGGCCCATGTCCACCCGTAAGAGGCTTTCTGCAGAATCCTTGGTGCGAAAGATTTGATAGAAACTGGATTCGATTGGATTCGAACAAAGTCCGAGGAACGATGGGGGCACAAGACGTGAATTTAGATGACCCTTTCATTCTTTCCTATCTCCCTTTCTTCCCCTCGTCTTCCCTCCCTCTCTGCAGCCCACTTACCATCGCTCTACCCCATCGTCGTTTGGGAACGGTCAATGGTTTCCGATTACCTGATGAGGTCCATGAGGGTATCAGCCGTAGTAACATTCCGTGCCTCTCCTTCCCGTGGCACATCTTGGGCGCCTGCAACACCGGGATGGATGGAGGTGACCAAAATGATCCCCAAGATCACGGCCAGGATCGTCGTCGTCATGTAATAAACCACGGCTCGGAAGGCTATCCGACTTGACATGCCCAGCTCCAGTCCTCCCACCGCCGATATGATGCTGCAAGGCAACGAAGGCAAGGGTGAAGGCATTGAAAAGAGGGTGTTCGTTGATGAACTTGGCACTTGGCACCAATTGTGATCTTATCAATTGATTTTTCTCCTCTCTCAGTCAAGAGGAGGATGAGTCGACTCAAGCAATCGTTTCCCCTCCGTGAAATCAATGAGACGGTTTATAGGATATGACAACATAGTTAGCTCCACGAAATGCATTTCCACTCCGTTCGTAATCGGATATGAACGAGAGTTGTCTGTTTCAATCCTGCTTCCTCGAACTCAACTTCTTCACAATCCACGCTCAATTACCGTCTTCATTACGGTTTGTAAGGCCATTCAGGGGCGCTCATCAAAAATAAATTATTAAACAATTTATCACATGACTGATTTACGCTACTGATATTTGGGATTTCCCTTTTCTGGCTATGAGAGGCGCTTGTGTATGCGTGTGTTTCGCTTGTTGTAGGTCTCAAGGGGTAAGAGAGAACGGGAGAGATGAGTTTTAAGTCGAGGAGATCATGTTACAAAAAGAGAAACAAGAGACTGCATCCGCGCTTCCTCGGATAAAAGGATGCTGACCTGGAGACGATGAGGGGGAGGATGAGGCACCTGAGGGACCGCAGGAAGATTTCTCCGACGTAGGAGACATACATGATCTCTCTTGGAGTCCATGATTCTTCCCTGGAGGCACGGAGGATGAAGCCGAGGGCAATACCTGAGAGCACGCCGGAGACGGTGGCCAAGGTCAAGGCATTCCCCTTAAGGCATGAGACCAGTCGATTGGCTTTGGCGGACATGCTGCTTGCACGCCGTCTTCTCCCGATGCTGGATCCACGGGGTTCACCACTGTGATCGTGATCCTGGTGCTTAATATGCCCTTCGCCTCCTTTGCCCTTGCCACGCAAAGCCTGCAGACTCAGCCGCGGCTTGCTCCTGGATGAAAGAAATACTCGCCATCAGCATCAGCTCACAATTAAAAAAAAGTCATCAAATATGCTCAAGCGATTACCAACGTCAAGGACAGGTGCCCAAACAATCACATCCCAAGTAAGCTTTTTCGACACGGAATCGTTACATAGGAACACAAAAGGTGTTTCAACAACAGAACGGCCTTGCATTTGAGCTGCTTTTTTTTGCACCATATGGCATCGGTCGAAGGAATGTTATAGATAGCCCTTTATAAATACGCAGCCCTGAATAATAATAATAATAATAAAGCGGATATAAAAGCGTCCGCATTCTAACCGTGCAACAATGCTCGTGGAATGCGTATGCACCATGCTCCTAACCTTGAGGGGGGAAACCGAGATCAAAGAGGGAGAAGATGGACTGGGAGAGGGAGACAAGCAGACTCTCTTCTCATCCTACGTCGAGAGGACGGGTTCACGCATGGTTACAGAGACGATCATGATAGGGCTGAAAGTGAGTCGATGCTTTGGAGACGATGATACGGCACGAAGTAGCAAAAAAAAAAAAGAAGCCAGATAGAGACTCGGAACTTTGGACCCGAGATCTGACTCAAGTTTGCCTCACACTTAGGAGTTTATAGTCGTCGTAAAGATGCCATATATTCACACAAATCACTGTTTCGCGCCAACACTTATCTTTGAGTTTATTACACTGATTACGAAATTGATTGATGCCGAAACATTCCTTTATGGCATGATAACGAACAGACAATTCTTCCACATCATTCCACAGAAGCTCTAGAGCAAATGCTCTCAAGCCCAGCCTTCGGCCTTGGGGAAGTGCCGGAAGCTGATATCTTCAAGGTTGCAGAAGCATCGTACTTCGTAGGGATTACACGATTGCAATTCGGACTGGACCTCCCCCCGCGATCGCGGATTGAGCCCAGTACGACAGTATGCCATCGACATGGAAGTCACGGACAAAAACTCCCTAAAAGGAGAATGGAGTGACACTGTCTTTACCCTTCGTTGCTTCCACAATGTATACAACTCATTTCCGCACCGCGGCTCCTATGAATATAAGGAGGCGGGGGAACCATCGATCCGTGGTGATGAAGAATAATATCAACGGGGGCAATGGGGGCCTCCTCGCGCGAGAGCCATCCATTAAAACGCCTTTCTTCAATGTCATCTTGAAGAATGAAGAGAAATTACAATGAGGGGGATCAGACATTAAATGCCTTGCGACGCCTGGCGATCATTTCTCCTCTCCTTGTCGAGCAGTCGCAGGGGGGGAGAGAGAGAGCTAGACGACACTCCGTTTTCAATATCTTCTCTTTCCCAATGGGAGCATGCAGATGAGGGTGGAATATTGCCCTAGAGAGTGGGTTCCAGTGATCGATCAACTGTGGAGGGGAGATAGCATGCACTTTCCTCTTTCCCACTTCCTTTTCACCAGAGAAGAAAAGAAAGAGAGGGGATGATGAGTCCATGGGTGAAGCATATATGAAATTGATTCCCGACCAATGAAGTATAAGCTTCCTTTCGGGTGAATTCTCCTTTCTCGTGGTTCTCACAAAAATGCATGAGTTCCTCCTCTTCTTCTGGCTTTTCTGAATCCTTTGGGAATCATTTCCCGGGTCAAAATTAACCCTTTTGTAGACGAATCCTCCATCTTCCACACACTGCCTCCCGCTTCCACTTCTATGAGATCAACCGATAAAAGAATTTCCCTGCTTCCTTAACTTTTAGGGAACTAGTTTCTTTGCTTTGCCTTGACTTCTTGACTCCATTTCAAATTCTTACAACTTCCTAGTTTTTTTAAGGTCTGTGGGAACCCTGAAAAACTAGGCAGACTATGAAATTCACACAGGCCTTGATGCCGATATGTGAGATCCGGTATAGAAGGTTAATGATCATATCAAACGCTATCTACTCCCCAGATCTCAAATGTCACGGTCTCTTCCGCATGATCAGGAAGCCATATCGGTTTGATAGCGATATAAGAAAAATGTTGACCTTCAGCCTGATGCTTCTCATCTGCAAATCCATGCAAAAAAAAAACCTGCAACCACAAACAACTCTTCTTACATATGCCATCATAAGCGATGTACTTCAGTATATTTTCCTCATTTTGCTATTATGGAGGCGCTAACAGGTGCTTATCGTCAACTTTCATAACTGATAACTTATGATTTATAAACCATGGTTTATAAGCAGGTTGCACAAAATCGTATGCATACGTGTCGTGTGGGGCGAGAGATAAGAGCAAAAATTCTTTCCCTCACTTCGAATTCGCCGACAATTCATAACATCTCGCGGGAGACAAAAAGCCTTACACACCAACAGTGAAAACTGTTTTGCTCAGAATGTATCAACGTCACGCCAAGGAGAAAATAATATCCATTTTCCCACCACGGTTCTCGCAGCTTTTTTCCCGATGCAACTCCATTTTGGTGACATTGAGTTTTCCCATGGGGAAGAATTCACCTATTCAGCACATTACCTCCCACCAAGCCATTACGTACAGCTTCACGCCCAAAAACCGTTAAGGCGCCTTTCGAGAGAGGCATCGCTCAATCCATGAATTGGAAAATGCTATGCCTTCACGTAAAGGGTCCACGAAATCATGACGCTTGCCACAGGCGCATCCCGATACATAGACACCAATGAGATTGCATGTCAATGAATATCCACAGCGGGTAAACAAAAAATATGAGGAAGACTGAATGGAGGAAGTAGGGCTGCATGCATGCGTGACGGAATTTCCCTTGGTCTATAATATCATCCTGCCTCCAGGGTAGGTGGACTACGCCCCTTGACTGCTGATGGGAACACGATGGAATCCTCCATACTAAATCGCTCCATATGCTCATGGTGTGACCGAAGCATGCTTTGTCACACGTCCCGCAAGAGCCTTCATGATGTCGGTGCATATTGTGTTGACGAATGCGAATACCTTTCAGTCGATGCTATGACGAGGGCCAATGCGGTAGATGTCAGTCGGTTCTACACCTCCAGATGAGTTCACGTCACATTCGGGTTGACTGTTTTTTTGTTCTCACACGAGTGATGACCTGTAGTATCCAGAGGTGGGGATGACCGTGTTACATTTAGGAAACCGCCGTGTGAGCTGGCCCCACCTGCACAGGTGCAGAACGTGGCTGGAACTGCCACCACTTATGAACTCCAGTTACCCCTCCCCTTCTCGGTCCATTCGGGGCTCGTGACGTCATTCGTGTCGTCTGCCTCCCCTTAGTTTTTCCTGTCACCCCCTCACGATGACAGCAGATGCCAAGGAGAGAATTCTTTTGGACTGGGAGCTGGGTATAATGAACACGGCCAACTGTGAGTCGGCTGGGTTCCAAATGTCACGTTGGTGGCACTATGAGCTCGTTTTCGAAGAGGAGAAATTTAGGGCAGATTGTCAAGTGCAGGTAATTTTTCTCTTCCCACGACCTGGAATACTTGTGTCAAGTCTGAGATCATTCCTATTGGTCGGCGAGGTTGCACGATAGATGGAATAAAACAGCAGAGATCTATTTGAAAGACAATCCTGGGAGTTTTGATCACGCTGCAGACTTTATTCCTCATACGGTTCAGTACTAGGCTGTCGACGGAGAATCGTTGGACTGGTCTAAATTCTGTCATTCTACGAGGTTAGCTTTAAGACAATGATGCCAGTAATGCAAATACTTATGATTTCGATGTTAGGGCCGTCCATGAACCAGGTGGTCTCCTAATGGTTAGATTTGACTCTCTTACAGGATCATGTATGGTTTCCCCCTGCCTCATCTTCAATGACGTAGCCAAGGGCGACAGGGGGCAGGAGGATCAGTTTTGTCGGAAAATTTTTATTCGCAAACTTCGGGCGTGATATTACATATTTTAGATTCCGATAAACCTAAAACCCTACATTTTTGTTCAATGCGTTGACATTTTTGGCTGTCATAGGTGAATCGGTCTATCGCCCTCCCCCTCCCTCAAAAAAGAGGCTATGGCTGTCAATGCCCATTCCCTTAAATAAAAAAAAGTGGTTCATCCATAATTCATCCGTGGTTCCGCAACAAAAATTTTTCCCCCAGCAAACAGCAAGCCAAGTGACTTAATTTGTCGATATTTTCACTCTCCTTCTCCCTCTTGGGATTTACTTGGGTTCATGCCACAAGAGATAACAGGCAGAGGGGAAGCTAACATGCAGTGTTGAAATATGTGGATTGCCTTTGCTATTATCAAGAAGATCCCCATCCAGAAGCTTATTCGTATTGCCCTAGTCATGCGCGGTGCTTCTTGAAAATTAAACTAAACTGATCATGAACCCGTCTGGAGAAGAATATTTCAAGATTATATGAAAGAAAACTCAAACACCGCATCTGACAATAAGTCTGGCAACAGATCATCCTCCGCTAGGAAGAATCATCATTATTCACTTTTTCCTCTCTGAACTTTCTCATATGCAACATGCATGAAACGGTGAAGTGTACTGGCTCTGGTGGCCTATGCGCGAACCCGAATTCAGCTGTTGCAGCTGTTGAACGCGCCCAATTAAAAGCACTGGGGTTTTCCTTAACTAACTCATTTCCTCCATAGGCCCGTCAGAATCGAGCAGAAGACAATTTCGAGGCGAATTCAGGCGAAATTCTCTATTAGATTCCCCCTGATCTACAGAGATCTTGCTTAAATTGGTCACTGTCCGGAAGGCATTTCCTGTTTAAAGCGGACAAGGAGCACGGCAGCGGAAGCCGCCGTTTCAGCACGACGCACCTCAAAGTGTTCCACTCTAACCGCAAACTGAAAGCTACCATTAATGTAAACCTCAAGGGATTCTCTGGGTCAGCTCATTCGAGTCTGCATCCCATCCAAACCACTGGGTCCCGCCTCTCGACTGTCATCTCTCGGGGCAAACGTCAAGCGCTCCGTGGAAAACCTTGGGTTTTTTCTTTCCCCAGCTCCAGGGATTTCCTCCAAACAGTTTCATATTCATGAGTATTGAAACTATGCGCCAGAGGCCACATATGTCGATGCTACTCCAGGTAATAAGAAAAAAACTATAAAATAAATCTCCCAACAGACAAATGAATTATTCCCTGCCTGTCCATTCAAGTCGTCAGACTCGTCACCGCACGTCGGATCGTCTTCCTTTCTCTGAAAATCATACAGCAGCAGTGAAAGTCAACGTCACGAGAGACGACGGTCAGGAGGACGAGACAGTGAAAGAGATGGGGGTCATAAATCGAATGGGATTCCCCAAGTCAACCCAAACACGTGGATTCCTCGACCTTGATCTGAGCTTACCCTGACCTCTCATCGTCCCTTCTTCCCATTGTCATCTTTCATGGAATCAACCTCAATTGATCAATTTCCTATCTTCTTACAAACCCATGTAATGATGAAGGATTACGCAAAACGCGATGAGCGATGATGAGACGTTTTCACTTTATTTCATTTCAAATGCACTGTTGCTTTGATTTGATTATTCTTGATTTCAACAACTACTCAACCGAGCTCGACTGGGCCTCCTATCTAAAAAAAAATCTCTTTCCTGTTGCTAAACTATAATCCCAAAAGTATCTCCTTGATTACTTTGATGATCGTAAACGCTCACACATTTGACCAAGATACAGATAAAGTTCGTTTTTGGTAAAATTCAGGCCCAAACAGGCATTCCAATGCAAATATAAAAATTAAACATAACTCAACTTTGGGCTGTCTGGCGAGGGGGAAGGAACGAATGTTGGCAAGGCCTTCTCTTCCACATCCCACCGACACCCATAAGTTTTATTTCT